CCATCTAGTTACCTTTTTTCTATCTCTCAAATCCTCTTGGTTTGGATACCAACTCCATACTATCATGGAGACCAGGTCATCAAACCTCATTAAATACTTGGAAAGATGCATGATCACTGTTTCAGAGTATCACAGAAAGATCTCAGATTTTAACCCAAGATCATTTCTGAGGCTGGTGGTGACTTGAATGGAGGTACCCTGTGGAGTAAATCACTACATACATTTGCACCTCTCTTGTGAACTGTAAATTATATTACATTAATTACAGGTTTTAAATTGTAAAAAATAAATCTTTCTGGGTGGTGCAGATGCATCCGCACAGTCTGTTTTCCAGAGGGTGACACTAATGCAGCCCCTTTATCTTTGTTAGTCTATTTGATCTATTAAACCTGTTTTAGCCGGATTAGCAAGCCAAACATTAAACGCTTGACACCAAACAACATTCTTTAACAGCCAGCCTTTTCAGACAGTCCCTGCATGCTCGGGTCCATAGTTGCACATTTCTTGAGGATGTGAGCTGCTCCTGGTGGTAATCAGCTAGAGCAGCATTAAAAGCCTCTTGTTGTGTTTGAGTCATTATTTTATCCTTCTGACAACGAGTCTTCAAAACTTTTTTGAAATCGTGTCATAGGTCAAACCTCACTTAGCCCAATAATCTCATTTCATCTTCTCCAGTCTCTCTCCTCATGTCTCCTTTAGCGCCATGCTCTCAATCTCCACTCTAAGATAGCTCCCTCCTCTGAACCTCTTAAGGAAAACAAATCCGCTCTTACCTGCTAGTACCTCTACAGGTACTCACAGAGTTAACCTGATAACTTGAAAATTGGCTTGACCTAAAGGTTTCTTGCTCAGGAATAAAGAAAGGATGGCAAAATTAAGGTCAACTGATTATCCTATGGTGAATTTTTCTACGACAAAACCACTGAAATGCTTCTTTCTATGGCAACATTGGGCCAATTCAAACCAATTTGCTTGTAAATTTTGCTCAAAAATAGTCCAGCTGGTGGTGAGAGACTGGAACAGTACATTGTAATAGTGATTTGCTTACACTCAATTCAGAACAAATTACACATTTACGCAGGGATCACTGCTAAGTTTTGAGTCCACTTTCACTATACTAACAAGATCACTTAACATTGGAAAAGCATGCCAAAGAAAATTCCCTTTTTAATGTAGTCACAGTTAAATAAGATTAAATAATTAATTCTACACAGACTTCCAAGATATCAGGTACTTGCAGAGAGTGCAAGATACTACATATTTTTGGGACATTCTCCATCCATAAAATAAAATATGCGATGCCATTTAAGGTTTACCTACTTTTAGTTTCACAACATAACTATAGACAAGTTGTTGCAGCAAACCAGTAAGTTGCCTGGCCGTTAAGTTTGAGATTATTAGGAACAAGCAAGAGTCCATGCCACCAAAATGTACATCTTTAAAGTAAAATTTAATGTATGCTTCAAAATAAAGAATCTTCATTTCATGTTTGAACAAAAGAAAGTCCAAAAAATGAAAGTAAAGTGCTCCAAAATGCATTTAATGCACAAAGAAAATCTAATAAATAGACATAGTTGCTCTACCACCACATGGTTTGCCATCATTACCTTACTTGCTCTCTGAAAGAGCAATTATTTATGAGGAGCACATAAGTGGCCAGGATGAAAATGAACGGAATGGCTACTACACAAGTCAAGATACAAATTTTATCCATTTAAGGTAATGATGTTGCACTGAATGCCTTGCGCAGATAACTGTTCAAGGATTATGCTAATGTTCGCTAGTTACGCTGTTGATACATTTGTATTGTTGGGAAAATCAGATGATTCAAGAGCTTCTGGACACGTCTTTGTTAAGACGATTTACAATTAGAACCCATTGATGGCAACATTATTGAATATTAATCAACCTATTGTTTATGAAGTGAGCATGGCCAACATACTCAAATAGCTCAATCCACAAGAAGTAAAACATTTCCTCAACGCACAAAACTCTGAATGATACGTATAGAACACAACAGCAGTAGTTCCAGCTACCAGCTCTCACACATTACCTTCAGGAAATGCTAATTTTGTCTAGTTTAAGTACTTGTGAAAAGCTGGATGAAAAGAATTGTGTGGATAGGGGAACTCTTATATAGCTACGGCATAGTAGACAAGAAAATACAGGACTGGACTGGACTCGACCACAATTGTAGGCAAGACTAACTCTTCACAGATGATGCAGTCATGTTGGCTTCATCAGACCAGGACCTCCAGTGTCCAATGAGGCGGTTTGTGGCCTTAGCGATACGGTAAGGCTGAGAACCAGCACCTCCAGATCCAAGGCCATGGCTCTTAGTCTGAAAAGGTGGAGTGATCCTGCTCTAATTGTAGGAGCCAAAGTATCTTGGGTTCATGTTCATGGGACCTATGGAACAAGAGACTAGGAGCATCTCTGCAGTAACACAGTCAATGTACAGATGTGTAATTGTGAAGAGGGAACAGATCCTGAAGGTATAGCTCTCAATTTGCCGGTCAATCTAGGTTCAAACCATTAAAGGCTATGAGCTCTGGGTCATTAGCAAAAAGGATGAGATCATGGATACAGGCAGCCAAAATGAGTTTCTTCTGAGTTACTGGGCATTCTCTTTAAGATGGGATGTGGAGCTCAGTCACTCAGGAGGAGCTTGGGAGTAGAGTCGATGCTCCTCCAGATTGAGGAAGCCAGCTGAGGTGGTTCATGCACCATATTCAGATGCCTCCTTTGTGGGAGATGTTCTGTACGTGTCCTTCTGGAAAGAAACCCCTGGGAAGACCTGAGAGAGAACATGTTAGTGTCTGGAGAAAGATGAATCAAGCCATATAGTGATAATCTACCAGTGAATCAGCAAGAGAGAGAAAGAACAGGTGGAAGACGAAAGTGCGCGCACAACTTCATTCAAAGGCAGGTACACCCTGGACAGGTCTCCAGTCCATCGCAGCACGCACAACCTCTGAGGAAATACCCCTCAAAACAGAAAAAAAAATCTGATTTTAAAGTAAAATAATGAAGATTCACAATGAAGAAACCCAAGAAAATACCTCAAATCAGGAAGAGGAAGAGGACTTAGAGAGATTGAGTTTGTTTTGATAACAAAAGGGTTTCATTATTAAAGGTAGTGTTTTAACATCAACCCTAACATTATCTAAGAGAAAGTGGAGGTCATAAAAATGACAATTTGCATTCAGTTCTTTACTTTGTTGTAATTTATGCAGTTTTTTCCAAGGAGACAGATGATTTACGGTAGTTAATCCGTGATGTACCAGTGAAATAAGTGCCATTGCAATTCCAGGAGGTGGATGAGATAAAAGGGCTGTGATCTACATCAAATCAATGTTTGGTGTGACCACACTTTGAAATTAGTGTAGTTACACTTTGTAGTTACACTTGTAGGTTGTTAAAGATCTCTTGAGAAGTAACCACAGATCTGCTGTAGCTTCTCTCATTCTCTTTGTGTAATCCCAAAAACACTGGAGGGTCTGTGGGGGCTGTGGCATCACTACCAGTGCTTCTGGTTCGTCTCTACACTGAAGATAGTTCATAATGACTTTATCTGTATGTGTTGGGCCATTGTTGTGCTGCTGAATGATTGTGAGATGCCTCCTTGTAATTCTTGGCATTGAGAACATCATTAATCACCAAATCTCCCACTACATTGTCCAAGGAACCTCCACAATGCTTCACTGTTGCCTACAGAGACTCATTATTGTACCATCCTCCAAACCTTCGACAAACCAGGGCACCTACTGCCATTTTTCTGCACCCCAGTGCATACTTAAGTCACCTGGCCTTGTTCCCAAATTCGAGTTTTGAAGGTTTGTCTGCAAATCTTTCATGAAGACCACTTCTTAAGACAGTGGATGGGTGTACTGGGGTCCCTCTGGTATTTGTTGTTTCTGCAATCAAAGGGTAATTTGGTTCATGGCAATATCACCTGTGGCAAGTTTCCTTGGACAACAACCGAGTCTACAATTCTCAATGTCGCTCATTGCTTTGTAAGAGCTTGAACAGCACACCTTACAATAAACCTGTAAAATCATTGACTCTGCATGTGTATCTAAAAGGATTGATGCTAGTTTGAAGGCAAAAGGTTCAACAGCAAATTTGATTTTACCTTTAATAACTTCACTAGCTACCCATTAATGATTGAATGATACGTTTAAATCTCTTTTCTCACTATTAAAGCACTGCCTCCTTTTAACTTTCTGAACCTGTTTGGTCTTCTCGCACCCTTCACTCTTTTTCCTCATGGTTCCACCATGAACTTCCATCAACAAAGGTTTCTCTTGTAAGGTGAACAGAAAGCTTGTTATTAGTAAATTTAACTTCTATTTTAAAAGAAATCCTAAAACATTTTGTTTGCAAGCATAACTTGCATCAAGTGGCATGCTGCCATTTCACTCTGGAACTCTTGACTTCTGACAGAAGACCAGCCCAAGATGGAGTGGCAGAAGCTAATTTACCCTTATCAGGGGCTTCTTGCTTGTGTTGTGCCCTTTTGATTACTGATGTGACCCCCAGAAGACTTACACTAATTGACTGTGACAAGTCTCTTCCACTCTAAGCCCTGGGCCATAATCCACACAGGCTAATGAACTATCGGTTTGGATTTCATCTGGACCATAAGCTCCTCCTTGCTCATCTCACTGATTTGCAATCAACACGAGAGAGAAACTTGGGAGGGAAAGAGGCGAGCCACTGAAGGAGGTTATCTGGAGGCAGGTGGAGCAGTGGACAGTCCCAGATTTACCATGCTTTCTGAAGCAGGCTGGGGTATACGCTTTGGATTTGGTTCAAGGAGTTGTTAAACCACAATTGGTTTAGTTAATCACTGGATTCTTCAAAGGGGAGAGGTACAAAAATACAGGTAAGGCACTTTCTGGAGCCATTTAAAAGGTCAGGGAAGAACCTTAGTGTAATACTTATCAAAACTGAAACTTTATCGAGGGAGGATTTCTTTTCACTTCATTCCAGATTTCTTTTTTAGCTGGGATTTGGACCCATGACGTATGCATTGTTCAGGCTGCACTCTACCGACTGAGCCACAGGAAAGCTTTTCTTAGAGTTATTTCCCACTCAGAAATTCACAAATACGTATAATATTGTTTTGTCTATTGAGATTGAGCCATTCATTCGTAAGGTAATGCTGAAAAATTATGAATTAGTTTCAAAAATTATGAACTGATTTCTGTCATTTTGGGGGGTCCTTCTGTATTTTCTTCATGTTTTTTGTGCCTTTGAGTGTCACTTTTTGATGTGAAACATAGATGTGCATAGTGTTTCTCCCCAAGAACAGGTAAGAAACCCAATGATAGACTTGTCTTTTTACCTGATTGTATTGTATGTGTATATAAAAAGGTAGATTTATGTTTATGATTTATATTAATTTGATTATTTTTGCTTAATTCCCCTTGTTACAGTTTTTAAGAAGCTGCTTTGATTCAATCTGAATTATGCGTGAAGTGCTATATAAAGGGATTTGAGGTTTAATGTGTGGCGACAGCATTAAAAGTGAGAATTAATTGGATGAGTATCAGGGTCATTGATCATGACAGATTATCAATACTTAAACTAAGCAAAGGATAGACTCCACCAGATGGTAATGTGGAGGAAATATGTTTTGAGCTCGAAAATATAAAGAGGCAAATTCTGGCTCAAGTCAAATCTGAAATTTCAGGCAAGCAAAGCCATGTATATATCCTCATGATGCACACTACACAAAAAATGTGCCTTCTGCTAGTGCAACATGCGCTTTAACACTGAAGACTGCCAGCTTTGTTCCTAGAAATGAAGTCATGATTGTAATTCAGAATGATTCTTAATGTAGATCCGTTAATTGTGCTCCAATGATGTTTGATAAGCTTCAAATCAAATATGTGAGACAAATAGGCCAGCATGTAAGTGTTGGGAGTGCATGGATGTTCACTTTTCGACCTGTTCTCATCCACCAGACATCAAAGCTTATTTTATTATCGCATCATGCATCTGTCCTCAAGTGCAAAAAAACGACAACAATAATTTCTGCATACAGACTGCAAAAAACAGAGCATATTTAATGTGAAGCAAATAACCAAAATAGGAAATGCTCAAACTAAACGAGTGAAAACATAACTGGTGAACTGTAAAAATATGCTGTCTCCTGCCATTGGGTCATTTGCTGCCCAAATGAGTGAGAGTGATGCTGCGGTGACAGCAAGCAGGAGTCTGCACATGCTCAGAAGTCATTTCGAGGAGAACTTCAGCAGGTTCCATCCGAGAGCAGTCTCGATTTATTTAAATCCAACCTGTTCATTGTATAAATAAGAACTGACAATAATCCTCATCATTTAAACTAACATACCTGAATTGCAATCAGTATTGAAGTATTTCCAAACTGCAGCTGTGCTCTAGGGGGTGGGCGTGGCACCTTGGGTAAAAATGATTGAATTTCGATTGTAGAGCCACTTGTCATCTATTCTCAGGTGTTGATCCAGGGTCAGATTACAAGCAGAGATGCCCAGACTTTGCTCTCTTTAGATTGTTCCTTTAGCTCTTCCTCATCATCATGCCTATCTATGCTGCCTCCTCTCAACATGGGGGAGTAGAGGTTCTACTGCAAGTTCCTCCTAAATTCCAAGAGACCCTCACCCTATTTTGGACCTATTTTGGGCAACCTCATATAAGCAGTGCACTATTCTCATTATCATGGTGTGCATAGATAATGGCAAAAATGTGAAATTCTTCTAAAGTTGCTTTGTTGTTTTTTTAAAGATTTAGATCTTTAATGGATCTTAACTTGTATTTGGACCTGCTGTTCATCTTCAGTCCAGCTTTTTGCTTATTGTGACGGATAAAACTACTCTATGACATGACCAAGAGTAACCAGAATTGTGTCACTTGTGTTCAATCTTATATGTATAATGACAATAGTTCAGACAATTACTGATTCTTCTTCTTGGACAGAATGGGGAGGTGATATTCTGTTGATTAATCTCTGAAATGTCACAATGAAGGCATGTGGGCACCATACTTCCAGTTGCGTTCATGTATACTGCACTTAATAGTGCTGAGAAATGACCTCTGCTTTTGTTTGCAAGAATGAGCTTCAATCCTTGAAAATATAGTCAAAAACATCCAATGCAACATGCTATTTGCATCAGAAACTATGTATAGGTCTTTGTTTCACAAGCTTAGTAGACTGAAGTCAAGAGAAATGTCAAAAAAGCTACAGAGAAGTACACAGCTTTACATACAATGTCTCTAGAGAAGAGTAAACTTGGAAGACGTTACATATTTGAAACAATAATAGGATAACAAGTGGACAACACAAAACAAACAGGTATGCGAGCACACGGCCAATAGGAGTGAAAAGCTATGTGCTCAAACCTTTCCACTCTTACGAAGTAATCTCAGGAGGGTTTGCAGAAGTTGTTTGTTTTGACCAGTCCTGGGCATGAATGTGCAGGACGTATGGAGAGACATAAATGCTATTAGACTCTTCCAATGTGAAAAAAGTATGAACTTGTTTCCTCCTCTGATCTTCATGTAAATAAGCAAGCATGAAAGCAGACGGAGAGTGTATTGTGTTTGCTTCAAACATATAAAAAACATTGTAAAAGCACCCACCCGCTTTCCTGTGGCTCTGTCAGTAGAGCATCGCGCTAGCAACACACAAATGAGTTTGAACTCCAGGGAAAGCAAGAACTGATTAAATGCGGTCATTACTTGAATTTTAACTGCTTTGAAAGCAATTAAATATTATAAAGCAATTATAAAAGCCTTTACAAAAGCATAAATGTAAAACTGCTAATGTAAATATGCAAGTGAATTTGGGGACGGATCAGTATTTACAGATTGAACACAAACCTGTGGGGAATTGCAAAAAGGTTAAAAGGGAGAGCAAATGTGCTTGTTCACGGAACAGACATAAAGGTACAAAAATGCCTGATTCCAGATCTCTGCCATACAGAAACAAGACTATTGCGGCGGTCCATCAAACATTAGTAGCTGCCTGACTCAGCTTGGTATGGCTTAGCCCTACTAGCACACTGTTTGTGTTTCCACTGACTCCATTATTGCATCAGAGTGGGCTTGTTTTAGACATGTCACTTAAGGCGCATTACTCCGCTACATCATTACAGTCCCACTTAGTGATAACCGTTGTAAACATAAAAACTCATAAAAATCAAAAGAAAAAATGTACACAAAACGAAACACATGTAATGTATAGTGGTCAAATGACAGGCTCAGATTGCCATGAGGCTGTACCACATTTTTGAACCTGTCATTATTTCCCAAACCTGTCATCATTTCCCAGCCTTCCTCCCTCTCCCCACTTTTCTTCTTGTCATTTTGTCAAGACAAATGGCCAAAAAAAGAATATGTAACAAAAGTACCAATAAATGGTACATAATGATACAGGTACATAATGATACAGGTACACAATGATACATAATAAGATGGAAAAGCCCCTAAAAGTTGCCAAGGCACTGCCATAAATTGGAAAGGGTATGACAGGTAGAACATTAATATATGTACCTTTATATTATTTGTTTGTAAAAAAATGAAACATGAACGCTGTTAATTAATGAACTACCAACACTGGTAAGAAGAGGCATGTTGACCGAATGGAAAGTAGACTGATTTACCTTTTGAGATCCATTTTTCTTAAGATGGATTCTCCAGACATTCTGCTGAATTTAGTTTTGTGACTTTAACGGTTCCTACCTGCATAAACTTAATTTGTCTAAATATGTCATTGTAAAGTATAGCTAGTAACAAGTTCATGGATTCTCTTTCTCTTCTTCAGATATGGATATTGGAGGCTTGGAGACTGTGGTGGCCAACTCGGCCTACGTGTCGGCCCGTGGCAGTGTAGATGGCGCTGCAGCAGCTACTATGCGGGACAAAAAGTACCGCGCCAAGCTCAACCTCCCCCACATCCGTGAATGTGAATCCATGAAGGCCACAGTGGATTCTGCTTTTGACAGTATGTGTGTACGCCAACCGATTGGTAAACGCCTCTTTCAGCAATATCTCGAAAGTGATCCAGCACACAAGAATCCAAGCGATTTGTGGAAAGATATTGAAGACTACAACATTGCGCAGGAAAAGGACCGGGCTAACAAAGCACAAAAAATGGTCAATAAATACTATGAGTCATCCTCAAAAAATTACTGCAGCTTCCTAGGAGACAAGGCTGTGAGCAGGGTGAAAGAGGACCACAAGAATGTCCGAGGGGATCTGTTTAAAGAAAGTGAGCAGCAGCTCCTCGTTCATCTTGAGGCTAAAACTCTCGCGGGCTTCAAGGAGAGCATGTACTTTCTGCGTTACGTACAGTTCAAATGGCTGGAGAGCCAGCAGGTTACTGAAGACTGGTTCATGGATTTCAGAGTGCTGGGGAAAGGAGGCTTCGGAGAGGTCCATGCTTGCCAAATGAAGGCAACAGGGAAGATGTATGCAAACAAGAAACTCAACAAGAAGAGATTGAAGAAACGTAAAGGTTATGATGTAAGAAAGATAAACATATACATTTGCCTCAATGCCTGATGCAAACAACTCTAAATTTGCTTGTCTTTCAAGTAAATTCACTTCAAATCTAATTGTAAACCAATTGGGCAAAACTGATTGGAAGACATTTTGGATCAGTGCCCTGCCTTAAAACAACCTAAATGTGTGGCCAAACAATACTAATGATTTAAAAATCCAAATCTATGTTACTTAGAATAACTAGAAAGACTTTCTACCAATCTCAAAACCCAGACTGGGAAAAAAAATGAATGTATTCAGTTTAAACAATGATGTGCACAACAATGGATGACATCATCATCAGTATTTGCATGAACGTCTATGCATTGATGTTGGTAGCCAGTTGCTTGTTTTTACGTGGAGAAAAAAAGTTACTTTCTTAGTCACCATTGTGATTGTTCTTCAAAACATAAAAATATTATAAGATGAGTTTCGTGACGAGCCTAGTGCCGTCCAGCTATTTCTCAGTATGCACATCCCGACACTTCTGCCAAGAAAATTGGTCTTTGTGACCGTTGAGTGAGTGACCGTTCTTATTTTAATTG